CTGGCGTGGTAGAGCTGGTAGGCGCTCGGCGCGGAGGCGAGGGCCTGAGGCCTGACCGCTGCATGAGGTCCGCCCGGCGGCAGCAGGAGTTGCAAGATCGCCCAGGCAGGTAGAAAGAGGGGAGATCTCGGCCGTCACAGGGAGCTTAGCACCCGGCTGTGCGGTTTCGCCCTCGTAGATACCGTGTGGCCGCAAGAGCTTTTTTGCTGCTGCCAAATCCACTGGGAACATTCAGCCGCCGGCTGGTGTGGGACAGGGTGAAGAGAGTTTCTCTCTGCTTTGATATGAAAAGCCGCTGCTGAAAATTTCAAACAGGAGTCCTTGAAGGTCGCTGTTCTTTTTCAGCATTAGTTGCTTGAGTCGTGTGTTGGAGGCTTGATAAACCTGGAAACTCAGGATGCTGCCTGCCTATAGGGAACAAATAATGCTGTGTTAAGAAAATGTATGGAAGATAGCGTTGTAGCAGAGTATACTTCTAAGCCTGTGGTGTAACCTGAGCTTGTGTCAGGAAGGATATGAAAATTGGTTCCATGGATTCTTGTGTGTAGCAAAGAGATATACAGTTGTGGAAGTATAAGAACTGCTGGATTCCCTTCCAAGCTAGAGGAGAAATGAAGTTTGGATTTCACATTAAGGACAGTGGAATTTTCCCACAATGTTTTATTTTAATCATTCAAGAGGTAGACGATCATTGCTGATATTTCAGGAACAGTTCAACAGCTGAAGTGATTAATGCAAGTGAAAGCATCTTTCTGGGTATACTTTGATGTCCACTGGATTTTGGGCTAGTTATCATACTTTTTAACAAAATACTAGTATTAAAAACGTGGTGTTCCTGCATTTCAAATAGATAATCCTTGTTTAAATTCCTTAAGTAGATAAACATTCCACCTTATGTAACTTAATTGAGTAGGGAGACCTTTTTCTAGTTAAGTCTCAAATAGGCCTTTTGAGCCACCTGTTAACCTCTTACATAGTGTTAACCAATAAAAGTATGGTGATAATAAAATGATAATTAAAAAAAAAGTCACAAGCCAATTAGGTCATATTGAGCACGTGAGCTGTAGTTTCTTAGTTCCTGGCTTTGTGTAGTATGCAAGTTTTTATACCGTGGTTGCCAGTTCATTGAGTTTCATGTAAATTTATTGTAACTTTCACTATTCTATATTGCTAAAAGTGTGTAGTATCCAATATGGTAAGGTATCACTAAGACAAACTAACAAATGATTTACAAAAATACCAACTCTATCCTACTTACCGGGTTATGTCTCTTTGTAATACTAGTAGTTACTACTTAATAATTGGTGTGCTTATGGTTAAAGCTGCTCATTTGAGGAACTTGTGGTGGTTTTTCCTTAAGAGTTAGGACAGTAGCCTGTGCAATTAGCAAACTAAAATTTATATTATTCTTTCTGCTAACGTGTCTTTGATGAAAAAAAAAAAAAATAATCCTAGGACTTCCTCTGCAAAAGCTGCAGGATTCAGGGAGTTTGTAGGAATGATGTTGAGAGATGCATGAAACAGACAGCAAGGCTTTTGTCAACTAGCAGACGATGTCATACTCAACTGTACTAGATGTACAAAGCATTTTAGGAAATTAGAATGACCGATTTTTTTGATCTAGTATTCCATAGCATGTCGAGATCACTGTGATGAAACTATTGCTTGTTCGTCTAAAGTATTGCCTCAGAAATAGAAAATATTAATGAAGTTTGATAGGAAAAAATAGTTTTGCTGAGATCTCTTTGGAAGGTGTTGGGATATCAGGATATTTGCGAGTAAATTGTGTAGCTATGCAAAGGAGAACAGAGTGTGAGGAATAAGCCATATCCACAGTTTGTGCTTGGCTCCTATTCTAAGAAGTCATCTTGGTAGCTGATGTGCCTATGTGCTCTGAAGCATAGAAATGAGTTTAAAGACCCCCAGGTGCTTTCCTATTGGAAAACATTCTCAAATTTTGTCCTAGGACAGTAAGGTCTCTTGTTCAAGTGCTGTACAAATGTGTTTCAGCACAATAAAAGAAAACTCCAGGGGCGTGTTACATGCCTAATGTGTTGGAGTCTGCAAGTGGGAGGTCGTTACAGTTGTCCTTCAGTCCTGGACAGTCTCTAGCTTATTCTTTTATTTTTCATCCAGTACCTGGTTGAAAGCTGCTGTGGATGGCTTTTACAAGTGTGCTAAATCAGATTAATAACCTTCTTAAGGTAGGTGGTTGTTATCTTACTGTTAAGAGAATATTTGCCTAGTCAGGCTGGCATTTTTGAGATGCCACCTAAAAAATGTGTTTGGGGAGCTCCTGAGATAGTAAGAATTGTTCTCCCCTTTCCCAGGGAGCTGCAGTCTAAGAGTAGGTGTTTTCCTGTTCAATACTTCAGATACATGCAAAAGGCTCTGTGTTCAGAACAGGATAAACTTATCTAGGTTCTGAAGAAGGATACTACAGCCCAGTGCAGAAAAGATGCTTTCACGGACTACGACCTTCTGATTTACAGTGCAACAGCAATCGACAAGAGACAGTGTTGTCTGAGCTGTAAATGCCTGGGAGGAAAAAGGGTAATGTACTTTTGTATCACAGTACTGACCCATACATTTCCCTAGTGAGCACAGACAGCAGTTGTTATATATGATGTTAGCCTTGCTCATTTTAGCTAAGTTCAGTGAAATCAAATTGCTGTCTCATTGCTGTGAGCTCTTGCATGATAAAACTACTTAGGGATAGAAGGGAATGGACACCTTACACAGGGTGAGAAAGAAGCTTGTTGGTTTGGTGGATGCAAAAGTGATAGATACACACTGTCACCTTACTCATCAACATCTGGCTCTATTGACATAATCTTGTTTTATTGAAGACTTAAAAAGGGTGTGAGTGGGGAAGTTTAATATCAAGCTTTGGCCTGATTTACTGCTAGACTGTGAATAAAATTATTCAAAATGGTTTTGCATTATGTTGAAAACTGCTAGTGGAATGAGGCAGTGTGGAATAGGAGTGTTGCAGGAACAGGTAGTAACAGTGTTTGAACACAGATTGGGCTGCTACGTAAGGGTACTAGGGCAAAGACAAATTCAAATGGTTCACGCTTAAAAAATAAAAAAAGAGGGGGTGTTTGGGAGGATGGATTAATCTGTGCAGTTATATAAGCCTCCATATCTGCTGGTGGGAGCAGATTGCTGTGACCATACCTGATGATGGTGCTCTTGGTCTCTGGTATTCAAATTCTCTGTGACTTGTCTCATGTCTCGAGAAGCCTATATGACATTGTCCATCCTACTGCATAGTATGATTCATCTCCTTGTATTGGGGTGATTTTTCCTTTGGCCTCAGCTTTGTTATTGTTGCTTTTTACTTTCTTCTTCACAAACTTAAGAATTACTGCTTTGACCTCAAACAGATTCAAGTGTATGGTTCCATGTCTAAATTTATTGAAATGGTATTTTGCGAAGATCTTGCTATGATCTGAGCAGTACCCACGTCAAAGGATGAAGGTCAGTGTGCTGGGATGGTGTAAACCTTCTTTGTGGAGATAGTACAGGAGTGCTTAACTTCCAACTTGCTGTGATGCTTGAAGGATTGAAGGACCAATTGGGAGGCTGCATATCAGTGGAAAGGCTGTAGGGTGGTGTTCTAGATGATGCCAGGTAAGCCAAAGGGAGGTGTAGTAAATACCATTGGCATTATCTTCTTGTGATGAGGTCCTGACCTTAAGAATACTAATTGAGCACTAATGGAAATAGAGGTTAACTTGCTATTAGTGGGAAATGGCAACATCTGGGAGAAATTGACATGGTGCTATTAAATAAATGAAAAGAGGAAGAACACTGCAGTCTGTATTTAAAAGACACTGGGTTGGACCTAGAGGAGTGTAGCAGGCAAACAATTAGAGTTATGTGAAAAGGAATGACAGTTGTGACATTCTTTCAAAATCTCAAACAGGTCAGACTATGGATCAGTTGATGTAATGGGAACTACTTTCAGACAACTTTGTTCTACAGTCTCATGATCCAGACCCTTAAAGGGGTTTACCCCTACCCACATGGAATGGTTGGTGTCCTTTATTTTGAACAGTTGTAATAGCCAGTCTATTTCATGAATGCTTTGTTACTTTTCTTGTCCTCTTATATAAGTACCCTTGGTTTCTGTGGCATCAGTGGAAAATAAAGTCAGCCTCACAACTATTTGAAGTTTTTCATAGTGACAGAAGACTAAATAAACAAGTTTTTAGCTGTTTGTTGGAAAGTTAAATGTAAACTGATTTTTTAAGAATAATATTTGAATTAATGTGTTGTAAGCAGATTTGTTGATTGAATGCTGTACCCCAGCACCTGAAAAAAAAATGTAACTGCAGTGTGTCAGTATGACCACTGCATACAATTGTGGTAGAGCACTTTACACTTCTGTTGATGGGAAATATTTTTAACTGTTTTGCATTACTTTTTGTCCTTTAAAAAGGTGTCCAAGGAGGGTTATACTTAAAGGAGTAGTGTTTATTTTATTTTTCCAATGAAAGGATTTCCTTTTTTGTGGGAGTAAACAGTTACAGGGTAATCCTTGCTTAGTAACCTTTCATAATATACATGAGAAAAATTCAGACAGTTTTCATATTGTTCATATTCTTAGTTATGGAAATCTATATCTTTAAAAGCTTTTTTTTCTTTTGAGAAAACTGACATACAAAGTAGCACTGTCTTTTGTAATTTATTACTGCAGTCCACTGGCTACTTCAAAATGTCAGAGTGAGAGTTGATTAAAGTGGCAAACTACTTCATCAAATGTAATGTATGTTATCCATTTGATATGTTCAAGGAAAGTAAAGAAACTGTAGTGTTTAAAAATTGAGCAAGTTTTAAGCTTAAATATTCAAAACAGTCCTTAGAAAAATTCTGATCCTTGTTATTAAGATACTCAAAATCAGTTAGGTAAAAATCTCACTACAGAAATATTGGAAAGACAGGAATCTTGCTCTCTTTTCCTTAAGAAATTCTGTTTTGTTGAGTGTGATCTGAGAAGTAGTAATAGGAATGTATATATCTTAACATTATCACAAGCTATTTGTTCATGTTTCCTGAACAAATTGTAAATGATGGTTGTTTCAAAGCTGCCCAAAAGAGGTGAATTTTTAACTCTCGGAAGAAACTAATAGGAGATAATGTAGATAATTTGGAATCTTTGCGTATGAGGAAACAATTTAGTCAGTCTTGTATCAAAATCCTCCCCTGCTTGTTGTTTTCAGACTGAAAACTCTTCTTTCTCAGCTTCGAGTCACATTGCCTATAATCTTAAGCGTTTTAGTTGCACTGATGTAGTTTACAATCAATGTCAAATGGCTTGTGGAGAAACAAATAGCTGTTAAGATGCTTGATGGCTCTTTGCATTCTGTTTGCATAGGGAAAAGAGTGCTTGTAGAAATGTTGTTTCTTTTTTTTGCTTGGCAGGCGGAGTTGCGAGCGGCTGTTTTTTTGGCATTAGAAGAACAAGAGAAAGTAGAGGTAAGAGAACCTTAAAAATCGGCATCCTGATAGTTGTTCATGTAGAATTAAATATAATAGCTTTAATACTTTGTGAAATGTAACAAGAAAAAGTTATGTATTACTGCATGAGAGTGTGAATTTTAAAGAACACAAAACAGGACAATCAGGATATTTTCTGATGGTTAGAAACAGGAATTATTACACAGCCTTTTGAATCTGTAGTTTTAAGTAACTTTGTCTTCTGGTTTTATATTGCTTCTGTCCAGTTGACCACAATAACTAAGTAACTTTTCCAACAAATACTACTTTAAAAAATAGTTGACTGATTGAGACTTTATCAAATTGGAATAATGTCTTTTGAAATGTAAAATATAGTGGGATTTGGTTTTGACAAGTGCGTTGTGAAAGCAATTAGTAAGGAGGGGAAGTAGTTATTCTATGGTATGAGAGTCTATATTCCAGAAGTCTAACATAAGATTGTTGAAGAAGACATAATGGAAGCGTGTTGTAACAGAACAGTACCATCTCCTGTGGGAAGCCTCAGCATATTCTAGAGTACCTAGACAGCAACCTCCCAGACTATCTGAAGAGTAATAGGGTTGAAGAGAGATTTGCTACAGATTATCTTGGCTCACTGTTTTTGGAAAAGGCTTAAATGTTTCATGATAGTTTAATTTTATACTGTAGAGACACTTGAAATATATTAATAATTATCACTAGTTTGAATTCCTAAATATTAAGCAAGATGTGTTTATTTTTTATGCAGTGCTTTCTTGTGTGTGGTAGCATTTATGACTTCAGTGATAGATACCTAAAATGGAGCCTTTTCTTTGAGTTAGGTTCTTACACAGGATATTTTGATATGTTAGGAATCATGCTTAGAATTTGGTTTGAAAAATCCCCGAACAATTTTGTCAAACCCAAACATATCATCTTGATTTATCTCTGTTTAAAAATCGAAGTTGAAGATGGCAAATCTAGTAAGGGGGGGGAAAAAAAACATTTTCATAGTATCTTTGAAGGTCTTTTAATTATTAGAAGGTTATTATTGATTTGTGAACCACTAATCAGATGTCTGGATGATTTTTAAATTCCCATTTTTTTAAATAGTGGCATTGAATTTCCTTAAACAAAGTTGGCATTGCATTAGAGCAGCAATTTGGCAAGTTAACTGTTTAACTTACCTTCTTAATCATTAAATAAATAAAAAGGCTATTAAGAATTTTGGTGAAATTACTGTAACTCTGTAGCTTTTATAATAGAAACACAGAGACAACTTTAATTTTCCTAGGTAAATGTATGACTGCAGCTCTTACTTGTAGGTAGTAGAATTAATGCAAAGGTGAATTTTGAAGAGGTGACTTACATATGCCAAGCATCATTGTGGATCAACGTACACCAAAACACCAACTTGCTGTGGTTTTCAATTTCTTGCTAATAAGAGGATTATGTTAATTACTGTTTGGTTTTTCTTTTTGACAGAACAAAACACCTCTGGTAAATGAAAGCTTGAAAAGATTTTTAGGTACAAAAGATGGTAAGTTCTTTGTTTAGTATACTTCTCAAAAGAATAAAAATAGGAAACAAGGAATTAAATCTTTGAATCTTTTCATAACAGTACAGTCTTTATGACATAAGGGATGCCTTTGTTCCTGTCAAATCTTATAATTACTGTTCATTCCGAATAGAATTCAGTCTGATTTTTTAATTTAATATTGCTGAAGCTGTATTTTTAGCTGAGGTGATTAATGTGTTTAAGTTATGATTATGCTAACTCAAAGCCATTCTAGATCCACAGAAACAGTAACCAGTGAAAACTCACTGTAGAGGTACAGTAGTGAATGTACGTGTAGGAGAAATGCCAAACTGATGTTTTTAAAATGGCTGAATAGTATAAAAAAGTAATCTTACACCTGAATTTTGTAAGTAATCTCTATTTATACTCCTGTAGTATTGATGACTTAAATAATTTTGCTACAATGTCTGAGTTAAAAATTAGGGAATTGGTATACAAATTACCTATGTGGTGGTAGTTTGCCAAATATCTAAATGATTTTTGTAGAAGTGTTGAATCAATGTAGATGTTCATGTGGGAGCCATGTTAATGTTAAATCTTTGAAGCAAGAATTGTTTCTGTCTGGTGTATCTTTATTCTTCTTATTTCCTTTTTAGGTCGCTTGGTAGCAGGTCTTGTTGCAGAATTTCTACGGTTTTTCAATCTTGATTTTACATTGGCTGTTTTTCAGCCTGAATCAAGCACAGTAAGATATACTGGTTTTATTTGTGTGCTATGCTGGTTTTTTGGAGTGCCTGGCAATGAATACAGAAGCTATAGTAGATTTAAGTCATTTGCTTGTGTTTATTCTGAATAATTTTTTATATTTAGTCTGTAAAGGGTTCTTATTGCTATAAAGACACATGTTCCAGGAAAGTGTGCTAGTATGAATGAGTATTCCCTCTATCTAAAACCAATGCTTGATACTATGTTAATTTTGTATTTACAAATTATTAGCTTTTTCTGAAATCATATAACAGTATATACAACAGAATACTCCTGCAACATTTTTTATTATGACATATTAAGTTAGTATTTTTACATGAAGATTCAAATAATGTCAGTAGTCTACTCTGAGAGAAAACTCAGTGAAACAAAGGACTTTGTGCAGATGCACATGAAAAAGTGATTGAATAGAATAATTCAGTTGGAAGGGACCTACAATGTTCATGCAGCCCAACTGATTGCTTTCAAGGCTTTTGATATTGGGTTAGAGGTTTTTCTTTGTCTCTTTTTGTGATATAAAGGTTTTAATAATAAATTTGGGTTTGAAACAGTTTCATTTAAATGAATAATTTATCTTTACATCTCAAATACTCATTCTTAATGTCAGTTTAAATAGTTAATTTATTAAAAATCAAATTTGTTAAATCAGTTAATTGACTCTGTTTCTCAGAAGGTCATGTTTCTTTTTAGGAGCTTAATCAAAGAAATTCCCATATAGCCTTGTCCTTTGCCAAATGTCCTAGTGCAATAAATGCAGCTAAGGATACATCTGTACAAAGATTGTGTTCATGCTACCAAATAGAAACAGTTGTGCTTTCTGTCATGTTGACACTCGCTCCTGGGAGCAATGCTTGATTCACATTGATAAGGCATCTTATGCTCTTCAAAACACCACCTTTCTTTTTTCAGTAAAAGCATTTTTTCACCTGTTGCAGTGCATACGTGAAGTTTGGTCACAGTTGAGCAAGTTGGCCAGGACTGCTGTGTAGTGCTGAAAGATTTTACTTTGTCTTTCTCTACTAACCCCTGTCTCTGACAGTCTGTTGTGTTGTCTGTTTATCCGGCATGTTTCAGTGTACTAGACTATTGGTGGCTTGCACCAGTGTTGTCATAGGAAGAATCACTAAATAATCTTAAGAGTTCAAAATGAACTGATGCTCTTTGCAGCATCATCATTCTGAGGTTATAAATCCACCCTACATTTGCTGCCGCATTCTGCAATTCTGTTTTTAAAAGTGTATTTTAATTTTTTTACTGCCCATTTTTTTAGCTGATACTAAATTACTTTCATCTCTATTTCTGTCCAAACCCATGTTTTTTTTAAAGTGAAATAGAGACTGAAAGGAAGTGTTGACCTATGCTGATGTATTTCTATATGCACAGGAATGGGGACTCTCCATCATCTCTGAATTTGCTGGAACCACTGACCAGGTGTCCTAGCATCCACTTTTAAATTTGATAGGCTAAAGTAACCTGACCATATAAATTCTTAAATCCTGAAGCATGCTAATGATGAATACTTGCATATTTAAAAAAACTTTGAGTGATCAGTTATAAATTCAGGTACAGATCAGAAGTAAATGATGCAATAGGCTATCATTACTTCAGTCCAAATGCAACAGGAAGTCTTAAATAATCACTTTTAGTCAATATATTGCTGTGTTAAATAAGACCGAAAAAGATTTAGAAGTTATATTACAGTATATATATTGGTTTCTGACAGTTGTTTCTGTGTTGTGACTTTTTTTTATAATTTCCCACCCCTCGTCCCAGCTCAATGGCCTTGATGGTCGAGAGAACTTAGCTCGAGATTTGGGAATTGCAGAAGCAGAAGGTGCTGTGGGTGGTCCCCTGTTGTTGGAGGTTGTTAGAAAATGTCAGCAGAAAAGGATTTCAGGCAATGGAGAAGTAAGTAGTGTTAACATGTACTTTCTTTCTTTCTTCATAGTGCTTTATTAATTTTCATTTCAATACTGAAAAATAAACTGAAATTAAAAGCACTTGGCTATTGTTGTAGTATTGTACTGCTTCAAGTCTTTATTATATTGTGCCTTCAACATAACATTGCCAAACAATGCTGAAAGATAAAGATCATGACTATTCTGTTACTTTCAATGGCAGCTTAGTACTCTCTATTAATATTCTACAGCATAGTAACACAGTGAACCCAGATAAATGACACAAAGCGCTGTCACTTTTTTCTAATTTCTATTCTGGTTGGACAACACTTTTAACTGTACCTATTTTCTCTGGCATACTTCTAATTTTAATGATCTGAAATCTAGAACTGATTTTGATAAAAGCTTTAAAGCTGTTCTGAAAACATATGTATTTAAAACTAAATATATTAAAGTATTGAACTACCTGAAGGCAATGACAGTAATATTTTAATGGAAAAGATAATTAAGTTATTAATTAAACTAATGAAATAAAACCAATAGTGTTTGATTAGTTTCTGTTGTGATTGTGGCTTGAAAGACAATTCTCTGCACCCAAGATACATTCAGTACCCCAACAAAAGCTTAAATTCAGAAGTAATTGTCATAGACTTCCTAGAGTATCATTATAGTGTGACAGTTTGTATACTGTGAGAGTAAGGATGGTAGCCTTGTTGTTGGATGGTGTTATGACAAAAATCAATATATTTTTAATAAGTATTTATGTGAAATTTGTTAGGTGGCTCCAGTTCTAAGTGATAGCCCATGCCTCACATCAAAATCATCTGATGGAAGATCAAGTACACACCCTGTACCAAATAAGGTAAGATTGTTTATATATAGTGAAAAAGCTATGTAACATACATGAGATAAGTGAAAGAGAGAACTATGAAACTGCAGATGTGATGGCATTCACTTAAGTGATCTATTAAGTCCTGTACATTTCCAACTGGGTAGATGGCAGTGCATATAGAGAGTCTCTGTGAGACAGAGAGGTTGGAGCTAACTCCTCTGTTTATCAGGTAGCTGTCTGATTGCTGCTTGGGATTGATAAGGTGTTAGGATACATCTGTCTTTCTGTTGAGGCCTGTGGCTTTCTTTTCTCTGTTGCTTCCTGTTAGCACAAAATCTGTATTAACTAACATTTTTCAGGTCTATAATACTACTTTACATTTGCCTGGAACTGATCAACAGGTTGAGAATTATGGGAAAGTGTAGGGCATGGCTAGAGGTCACTCTTTTCTACAAGAAACCAGTTAATCCACTACACTGAGAAAAAAATCAAACCACCAGAGCAAAACAATCCTGATACAAGTACTAAAGTTTGTTCAAATTATTGATGTAATCTGGTCCCCATAAAAGTTTTAATTGCTTTTTTCAAGATTACTGGAAAAAACTTAAAAGCTTTCCAACTTACTAGTGAAAGCTGAGAAATACAACATTTCATGGATTTTGTAGTGAATTTATTTGGGAAAGGGAGTGACAAGGATAAAAGAAAATAAAATGACAGATCAGTTTGCATCTGCTTCATTTTATTCCAGCTCTTTTTAGTTTTTTCTATGCAATACCAGAAAACTATACTATTTGTAAAGCAAGCTTCATTTCAAGATTAAGTTGTTTTATTAATTGCTGTGCTTGTTGATAGTATGTTAAAAGCAGTATTTCTGTAAATGACCTTTGAATGAAAATTCGAATAATTTCGAACTTTCTTTAGGAGAAGATAATTATTGCTTAACACCAGCTTTTAAAGCAAATGAATCCACTAAGAAAATCTGAGTGCTGATTAAGTATGACGGTTACTAATACTGTTGCTTCATACCTGAGCCCCTACTTTTGTCTTAGGGTGGTTCTAGGTTAGCAAAGAAGAACTACTGGTGATGAGTTAGAAGACGTAAATATTCCATTCTCCCTTGCATATTCCACCTTTCATCTTCAAGTTTATATTACTTTATTTGAAATAAATAGATCAGAAAGACAAGAGTCAAGTGTTTGTTATATGAATTTTCCTCAGGAAAAGAATACTTGTCTAGAGGAAGAAAAAAGTAGTTCAAATAGCATGTAAATAAATTTCATATGTTTGGTTTTTTTCTGGGTGTGCATACATATGTCTTAAGGTTGGTCCAACCTCTCAATGGTATGAATCTTATTCCCTTATTTCTGTTCTTGACAGAGCTTTTTGCAATGCAATTATGCAGGGGTTTGGGTTTTTGTGGGTTTTTTGTTATTTTCATTTTTTTTATTTTATTCAAACATCTACCCTTTTTGCAGTGGTTTATCTTAGCCAGACAGTCAAAAATACTTGAACTGGGGGAAGACGGAGACACACATGCACAGAGGAGTGTAATATTGTAAGAGTTTTTTCATTAGGAAACTAGATTGAAAAGAGTATTTTAAGTTATGCCTGAAAACTCTGCTTTAGGGAAGGTGTCATGGAGTAGTTACAGTAATTTCTGTTGCTTAAGATTATAACCGAATAAGTGACAGTCTTAGTTCTTTTTATCAAATTGTTTGGGCCTGTATGAAACAGGAACTCTTTTAGCTCAAACAGTGCTGTCCAAACTGAGGCTGGAGGGAAGCAGAAAGCCATATCTGAATGATTTCCAATTATTAGTACTGTTTTCCAGAAGTGCTAGTGTATTGCAGTTCTTTGTATTCTTCTCTGTATTGTGGTTGCCAGAATTTTTTCAGAGTGCTATTGACTATTTATATGTACTAGTCCACAGACGTAAAAGCTTCTCCTGTTGACTGAGCTTAATGACAGCGACAGCTTAATGACAGTGTGACTGGTCCAGTCGATTAGTGGTATTTTTTTGTTTCAAAACTGTTGCTATTCTTAGTGTGCAGGAACTAAGTTGATGTAATAAATGGGTCTTTTCACTGGCTTAATTTTAGTAAGTTTAGGGGCAAACAAAAAATGCAGTACTGCTTGCTAGGTAGCAAGATGCTGTTGTTTGAAAATGAAAATCTGTTTTTTCACAACAGCTCCGTTATCTGGGTAAATTTGAATAATGCTTTTTGAGCCGTGAAGTTTTGCAAAGATATGACTTGAGTTGTATTAATTGATCTAAATGTTAGCATGTGGAATAGTCCTTACAAGCTTGATGATCTTTAGGACTGAGCCATAAGCATGATGAAAAGAATGAAAGTTATGTACTTTTAAATTATCTTGTTTGTGTCATTTTTGGTTTTAGTATTTGGAGGGAGCAGGTGTCATTAACAGCAGTCACCTTATGCTTGCTGTTTTAAAAATCTAATATTATATTGCAGAGATTATTTAATATGGAAGTTAGAGTAATTTACATGGGTTTAAATTGATTTCTTTTGCAGACCATGGCTGTAACTAACAACATTTGTTTGTAGACAAGTTGCAAAATAATACTAATAAAGCATCACATAACTTTCAGACTGTAAAACAAATGAGCCTCCCTAGATTCAAAGCTAGGAGGTAAGAATTTGTCTGTAGATATCTTTATTTGATGACCAATGTCTTTTAAAACTGGTTTTTTTTATAGTAGAGTTGATCTAGATAAAAAAGCAATGCAGGGGATGGAACAAAATTTTTTTAATGTTGACAACAGTGAAGAACACTTTCTGAAATGGTAAAGTAACTTTTTTCTCTTGTGAGATTCCTGATTAGGCTAATAAATTTGAGCTAACTTTTTTTAAAGTAATGGTAGGTATATATTATATGTTGTGTGTTTATATTCACACAGAATCACACAGAACGTTAGGG